GAAATTATTTAAGTGTCTATTGTGGCAGGAATATTTCATTCTAGTTTTTTGAATAGATGATCTAAAATAAACAAATACAGTTGTTTATTGCTTTAGGCTTTGTTTAGCTTTGTTCCTCCACAGAATCAAAACACAAGCTCTGTGCTCACTTCATATTGATTCCACTAACTGAATGATTTGATTAACACAATTCTTGTTGAACAGCACCAAAGGATTGGATATCTGATCTTAAGTGACCATGGCCTCTTATCAGTTGAAGCAGCTAATCCTGAGCAGGATTTTAAAACTGATCTTTTCCCATGGTACTTTGTGAATGTAAATAGCTTTCAACCGAATGTTTTCAATGGTGGTAAGTGAAATGAGTTTGTGGCCTTCTCAAACCCATTTTCAAGCAGCCGTGAGCTGAAAATGCATTATTTTGTCACTAAATTGGTAATTTCACTCAAAAAGGCTTCATAATAGTTGGAGTGGGAAGCAGAAACTAATGTACTGGTTCTCTTCTGGGGTTCGGATAAAGGTACATTGTTGGGGAAAAGTGGAGGGAGTTTAGCTCTGCATTTGACTTGAGGTTAATGGGTACCAAAAATGTAAAAAGTCCTCTGTTTTGCAAAAGTAGTATCCCCAAGAACAACAAGAATATGCTTCATATTTATCTGTTAAATAACCCTTTATGTACAATTTTGAAATGCAAAATATCTGAAAAAACATCCATAACAATGAACAAATACATCTAGTTCTTCTGAAGAGAAAGAGAAGACTAAATAAGAATGAATTTACTTACACCACAAATCCACCAGCAACAGCGTGCATTTATATAGCAATAGAAAGTGATGAAAAAAGACTCCTTTATTATTGAAAGAGAATTGTTCTCCTTTCATGGCTTAGTAATTAAGCTGTGATCAACAGCAATACATTATGCATCTTATAGATACTGCTTTCCTTTCAAAGTACATCTGTCAACATGATATACTGTATTTTTCTATTCATTTGCATCAAAAACAAGTATAAAACTAGGAAATATTAATTATCAGAGTAAACTAAAAAGGTAATAATTCTTTCAACAACATTTCCTCCCTTCCTTTCCTCCCCCATTTTCCTTTCCTCCTTCCCTTTTAAAGTTTGAAGTTGTACTTTTCATTCTAGTACATTGCTGCCAGCTCCACAAGCTTAAGAATTGCAAATATTCAGGAAAAAGATATGAATAGAGTGGATGGTTTTCCAAGCCAGAAATTCTTGAACGCAAAGAAATTACCATGCAAACAATAGCCCTGTTTGATTCCACAGTGTACATATTACAGGGTTAAGAGCATAAACTCTCCAAATGTCACATGTACAAAAGTACTTCTTGTGAGAGTAGTTTTGGCATATCTCTGTGTGCATAGCAACCAATGGTTATGGAAGCTTTATGCTACCACTGTGTACTATGCACAGTTCAGCCCTTCTTTGCATTTGCTCTGTGGTTTGGACTGATCATTACCTTTTTTAATTCATCTTGGGAAATGGGTAAGGCTAGCAGTGACAGCGTTTATTGCTCATCCCTGATTATTCTGAAAAGGTGGTGGTGAGGGCTTGTCTTTAAATTGCTGCAGTCCTTGTTGCGATGGTGTAGGACAGGGTGTTCTAGGATCTTGCCGATTGACCTCTGAGAATCACAACCATCTTCCTGTGCGCATGGTATAATACCAGTCCCTTCAACCTCAGTTTTGTGGGGCTTCCAGGTGCCAAACTCAGTTGAATGCTACCTTTATGTCTAAGGCAGACACTTTCAGTTCTCCTCTGGTGTTCAGCTACTAAGTCTATGTCTAGATCAGGGCTTCAACCAGGTCTGAAAACAAGTGGCTCAGATGGAATTCAACCTAAATATCTGTGAACAGGTCAATGGTGAGCAGATATCGATTGAGAATAGTAATAGTCCATACATTTGGTACAGCACTTTCATTTCAGGAGAACGATGCGAAGCGCTTCAGAGAATTCACTGTATTGTAGATGAATACGATACTGATGACATTGTGGATGACTCCTTCCATCATTTTGTGCATGATTAGAAGGCCTATGGGATAATAGTTGGCTAGGTAGGAAATGTCTTATTTTTTGTAGATAGGACATGCAGTACTTGGGCGATATTTCACATTGCTGGGTAGATATATATCAGTGTTGTCGTTGTACTGAAACAGCTTGACCAGGTGGGGGCAGTTAGCTCTGGTGGAGCATCACTGCCTGGATTATGAAGGTCATGGCCTTTGCACTATCCGGTGTACTCAGTAGTTTCTCATTTTAGGTGCATGGAACAGAATTGGCTGGACGCTGGCAGGTGTGATAGATGGGACCTCACACTTTCGGCTGAAGATGTTTGTGAAAACTTTCGCCATTTAAACTAACAAATCAAGTTTAAGTTTCTTAGTTGTACTGGGCTTTGATCCTCATGTCCATTGTCCTGACACTTTAAAAGTATTTTGCCCAGGGATCACTGGTGTGAAATCTCACTCATTTTGTACCTTTGGACGCAAGACCACAATTCAAAATAGTGCTGAATTGTGCAAAAATTCTAACCTAAGTTGTAATTTGGAAGACAAGAATTCTTTAGTTCTTAAAAAGACCGACTTCCGTATCGAGAAGTTGAGGACTGCTTGTCCAGTCTCGGACCACCTTAACTGTTAGGGTTGATTGACGTATGTTGGCAATTTATTGCAGAAAAACAGATCAAAAAGAACTAAGAAAGAACTTTCATTTTGATTATGCCATATAATGCTAAGATGTCTCAAAGCACCTTACAACAAGTACTGTCAAATGAAGGCACTATTTTTGCAGTGAATCGGGGCAGCAGTTTTGCACACAGCAAGGTCCCACAAACAACCTTGAGCTAAATGAATAATTTAGGATCGTTGGCCAGTGCACAAAAAACTCACCAGATAACAATAGCATATTATTTGCAGTATATCCTGCACTATTGTTGTCAGTGTCATTGTGACTGCGGATACAGCTTTTGAGGACACAGGAAACTGGTCTGAGTGGGTCACATCAATAAAACAAAATAACTTGGGACAGTAACAGCTAAACAACATCTGCTGCAACCACTCCCCCCGTCAATTTAATCCATATTTTCCATTATCCTATATAATAATCAGATGCTTAAGTCTTTGCAATGTATTTACATGCATTCCACTAATGCTGCCTTGAGCCACGCCTCGTCTCACTGGGTTTAAAACGATGCTCTTCCAGTTCCCGGTTTCCATATTGTGGGCCCCACCGAACGATTGCTGTAACAGTGGCAGAGATTTTTTTTTGCTGTGTCACAAAAAAAAAAGGGGGGGAGCTGTTTGCTCGTTTGCAAAAGCGTTGGGGGGGGGAGTTGAATTGCACCGAAGGCAAAAAGAGGCAGTGAGCGGAGTGGGAGAGGAGTGATGTGCAGTGAAGTGAATGATGTGGAGTCAGTGAGTGAGTGAGTGAGTGCAGAGCTTTCTTTTCCGGATTTGTTGACGTCGTGGCCTGATCCTGCGATACAGGAAGCTCTGGGATTGAAGCTGACTGACTGGCCATCGTCACCTTGCTCCACGAAAACACATGTGATGGGTTGGCTGAGCGCGATGTGAGCTCCTCCTCGGGCTCTGCGCTGGAGCTGGTTCGGGGACAGCAGCAGCCACCAGCAGCTGGAGCTGGAGCTGGAGCAAGCGACAGGGTCTGCAGCTGGAAATATACATACATACACACACACACACACACATATATATATATATATATATTTATATGCACATAGAGATAGAGGGGATTTAAGAACCAGTCGTGAAGAAGAAACAACAGGCATTCAGTCCAGCAAACCAGATCAGCCAGCAAGAGGGTTTGCAACTGGAAATATATATTATATTATATATTTATGTGTGTGTGTGTGTGAGAGAGAGAGAGAGAGAGAGAATTCAACAACACTCGTGAAGGAGAAACGACAGCCGACCAAGCCGAGCAGATCCAAGCGAGGAGCAGCAGCAGCAGCAGCAGCAGCAGGAGGAGGAGGAGGAGGAGGAGACTTTGTAGCTGTGGACACACATGAAATAAATAACGAGCGAAAGAAGAAACGGCGAGAAACGATTCATCAACAGGAGAAGCCAATCCCCCTCACTCTCCCTGTGTCTGTCTGTCTGTCTGTCTGTCTGTCTGTCTGTCTGAGTCTCTGTGTGTGTCTCTCTCTGTCTGAGTCTCTGTGTGTGTCTCTCTCTGTCTGAGTCTCTGTGTGTGTCTCTCTCTGTCTGAGTCTCTCTGTGTGTCTCTCTGTCTGAGTCTCTGTGTGTGTCTCTCTCTGTCTGAGTCTCTGTGTGTGTGTCTCTCTCTGTCTGAGTCTCTGTGTGTGTCTCTCTGTCTGAGTCTCTGTGTGTGTCTCTCTGTCTGAGTCTCTGTGTGTGTCTCTCTGTCTGAGTCTCTGTGTGTGTCTCTCTGTCTGAGTCTCTGTGTCTGTCTCTCTGTCTGAGTCTCTGTGTGTGTGTCTGTCTGAGTCTGTGTGTGTCTCTCTCTCACTCTCTCTATGTGTGTCTGAGTGTGTGTGTCTCTATGTGTGTCTGAGTGTGTGTGTCTCTCTCTCTCTGTGTGTCTGAGTGTGTGTGTCTCTATGTGTGTCTGAGTGTGTGTGTCTCTCTCTCTCTGTGTGTCTCTGTGTGTGTGTCTCTCTGTGTGTGTCTCTGTGTGTGTGTGTGTGTGTGTGTGTCCCTCCCTGTTATTTTGTTGTAACCCCAGAGCTGTCCGGTGTGTGAGGGTTTGCCCCCCAGCCCCTGGAGCTGGCGATGGGTTGGCTTGTACCGTAAGTGGACGAGCGAAGCCTCAAAAGCCCCTCCAGGAAACATGTAGGTTTTATTTTCGCGAGGTGGCATCCCAACCCTGTCCTGGTATTTATTATTTTTATGTCGTGTGTGTGGGGTGTGTGTGTGTGGGGAGGGAGTGGGGGGGGAGGGGGGTATTTCCCCCTCCTCTGTGTCTCTGTCTCTGGTTGCACTGTGTGAGTGAGTGAGTGAGTGAGTGTGTGAGGGAGGGAGTGAGTGAGGGAGGGAGTGAGGGTGTGTGGTGGTGTCTTTCTATATTCTCTCCCGTGGATCTATTTTTGGAGACTGTGAATCAATCATAACCCTCTGCATGGAGGTGCCTGCCGGGCTGCAGTGTTATGGACGTGCACCGGTTTGACGGAGGGAACGCATCGCACGATTCGCTGTCGGGGGAAATGCGATGGTCGCTATGCGTCCCGATGGCAGACACGGTTACTTTCTCCTGGCCGCGGTTTGCCTCTTTGCAGCAGCCTCATTCTTCGACGCCTGGGTGACCCTCAGGCTCCTCTTCTACTCGGCTGTGACTGTGAGCAGCCTCTTGCTGGGCACCTTCCTGGTGCTGGCCAGGCAGAGCAACCTGAAGCCCGTGCGCTTCCCCAGGGACAGGGACAGGGGCTGTGTGTCTCAGCTGCTTGGCCAACTCACGGTAAGTGCGAAACTCCTGACATACACACACACACACACACACATGCATACATACATTCTCTCTCTCTCTGCTGCATGGTCTTTATTTACCCCCCTCCTCTCCCCCAGAGAATCCTATATTATGTGTCGTCCACAAAATACAGTCAGTTCACTTCAATAATATATAATAATAATAATAATAATAATCCTTGCATTTGATTTAGCGCCCTATCACATTGTCGACATGTCTTAAAATGCTTCACAGAATACACTGCGAAGTGGATATCTTTTTTGTGGACAAAACGCGGCAGCCAATTGCACACAGCAGTGTCCCACAAACAGTCATGGATTGAGTGACCAAGTTTTTATTTATTTTTTTGAAGGGATTATTTACCTCAGGAAAGCGATCTACTTTACAATATATTCTGTGAAACACTATGAGACTAGTTTTATCAACGAAGTGATAAGATGCTTTAGTGCCTTGGGACCTTCTCCTGACGTGAAAGGCGCTATACAAATGTAATTTGTTATTGTTATACCAAATGAAAGGATTATTATTATTTCAATCTGAAAAACTCTGCACAGTGTAACCAGTTTACAATAAAACCATGATACCACCCCTCCCCCCTTTTTGTGTATTGAGTTCAGATTCAAATCCTCATTAATTTTGTGTTTGGGACTGATGTGACCAAGTCACTGATGCACAAGTGGGTTTTAAGATGGGAATCTCTGTGCCTTTGCATATAGCACAATAAAAAAACCCTAAAAAATGTGGTTCCTTATTCACTATATGGAACTTAACTTCTGTATCACATTTGGTGTCTTGGTCAATTTGGCGGGGTGGAGGGAGGGGGGAGATTTGAAAAAAAAATCCTTCCATTTGATATATTGCTTTCACAACAGGAGGATGCCTCAAAGCGCTTCACAAGCTTTATTGTAAAATGTAGTGACTGTGTATTTTGTAGAAAATTCTTGCCTCCATGTTTGATCTGAGATGTTTGGAGCATTATTATTAGCTTTCCTCTCTCTTCTGACTATTAACTTGGTATATGAAAGAGAGCGACTTGAATGGGTATGGGGATAAGACAGGATTGAGTGATATCCTAGCTGGTGCATATTTGCTGGGCGGATTTGAGTCCTTCTGTGCTGTACATTTCTATGCTTCTATATAACTGCTCCCCCTTTTGAGTTCTATTCAATGTTTTATAAATGTGGTGATACTGCTTCTCCTTCGCTTCACCTTGTGCTTGTTACACTGAACAATAATTGGCAAACACCACATTTTTTTTGAAAAACATGAAGGCAATACTTGCAATTTTGCTTTTTATATTTAATTTTAACTTGCTGTCCTGCAGGTGGTTGGGGGGGGACATGCATATCAAATAATTTGGTGCCTTGTTCTGTGGAAGCGCTGTGCTATAAAAACAGGCTGTTTCTAGAAACTGGGAGGAACTAATTTGTTGATGCAGAATGCACAGAGGGATTTTGCATCAAGTGGGCTAAACTGAGGTGATGATCTCCAGACTAGGGTAGAGCAAGATGCGTTTGTGTTATTTGGCTAACAAATAACACATGTTTGGCTAACAATTCAAAGTTATCATAATCCATACCTTTTGCCAACAATCCGCTTTCCTTTCAGAATTGCAGTTGATTTTATTTAGATTTTTTTTGTATGCAGGAAAGAAAATAATAATTATAAGACCAGCAGCAATAAACAAGAAGCTTCCGTTACAGAGATTACACTTTGTCGGTCATTATTTGACACAATGTGAGGGGTGTGGTTTTAAAAGTACATGTCTATTGATTTTTTTGAATTTGTTAGTTTAAGTATAGAATGTATTCTGAACCTCACAGTGTTGTTTGTTCTACCAGTCAGAGCAGTAAGCTGGATAGATCTTTCAAAAAACAGAGGTAGGAAGACAGTTACAGCACTGACATTGATCTCCTGTTCAAAGGTATTATTTGACATTGGCATCTCTGCGCTTTGGGGTCTGGGTGGGAAAGGCGGGTGCCCTCGGTTGTCCGGTCATTGCTGTCTCTGATGCTTGCCTAAGCACTGAAGAAAACTAGGCATCTGAGGCAGGTTATTTGAATCAAGGCGACAGCTACAACAACTTGTATTTATATATCACCCCTCATGCAGGATAGCACCCCAGAGCGCTTGACAGTGGTGGAGCCTGATGCCGAGCTGGGTGGAGGGGGTGGTGACTGTAGGCACGGTCAAAGAGGAAGGTCTTCAGGTGCAACCTGAAGGTGGGAAAGGAAGGGGCAAAGCAGAGGGATAGAGGAAGAGTGTTCCAAAGTTTCAGGATGTAGTGGCTGAAAGCTCAGCTACCGATGGTCGAACGGAGGGCACAAAGGAAATGGAGAAGATCAGAGCCAGTAGACTGGAGGCAGCGGATAGTGGGTTGGAGGATAAGCAGGTCGGAGAGGTAGGGAGGTGCCAGGGCATGAAGGGATTTGAAAACGAGCGTGAGGATCTTGAAATCAATCCATTTGATTTCAGCTACCCAAACTTGATATCCCCACGTCAAAGTCTTTCCAAGTATTATCCTAATTTTAATAGATGTGAGACATATGAGGCTGGGTAATCCAGGTGTGTTTGCCTTTGGTATTGCTGACCTAGCATGCCTGCAGCTGACTGTGGTCCCTTAGGAAGTTTCTGTCTACTCACATATTTATGTTTTTTCCTGAACTGCTGGAGCTTCATTAGTAATGGTTGTAAAAAAAAAGTGGTAACAATTAAAAGTTACCGTAATCCATACCTTTCGCCAGCTATTTCCTTTCAGGGGTGCAGCTGATTTAGATTTTTTTGCATGCAGGAAAGAATATAATAATAATAAATCCTTACATTTGATATAACGCCTTTCACATTGGGAGAATCACTCTAAAAATAATAAATCCTTACATTTTATACAGTGACTTTCACCTCAGGAGGATGTCTCAAAACAACTCCTAGGATTTACTGTAAATTGGAGTGACTATATTTTGGGATTGAAAATAGGAGGGTCACAGGGAGATGGAGGTGAAAAAAGGCTGCCTGCAGTCATAATTTAATCTTTTAAAAAAAACTTGTCAAATTGACAGGTATCCACCCTAGGGAATAGAATGCTTCCACTATGGCCACCTAATTGTAGCGTCATTCCCTCTCAGTCAAAACACAGAGCAGCCAGTTCTAAAGCTAATAATAATGTTATATGATGTTATAATATAATCATTGCATTTGAATATAGTATCTCATCACTTCATTGAAATCCCTGAAAATGTTTCACAGTATTTTATTGTATAGTGTAGTGACTATATTTGTAAGCTCCCTCTACTCTGGGTTTAACTCATAGCCTCAGAATGAATTTTTCATTTTCCACACCAACCACTGGCGTAGCTTCTCTTAATGAAGTTACCAATTTAATGAGCATTTGTATTCAACATGTGGGTAGTTTATTGCTGAGTTTGTATTCACAGGGCACCAAACCTGTCTGTGTCCCTTTCACATGCATCTTATAAAGTGTCATGTGTTGCATCTATTTAACCCAATCTGTTACTGAAACTTCATTTTTTCTCTCATACTCCTTCCCTCCAATTTTCCCATTTCATCCCCAGAGTTGCTTACTTCTGTTGGAGTATAAACGTGGGGTACAGTCAGTCCTACAGATACCTACTGTCCTTTTTACCAAGTGGCCATTCTTTATAGTAACAGCACTGAAAGAGGCCATTTGACCCACTGTGTACTGATGTACTTTGTATTGTCAACCTTCTTAAACCCTACAAACCTGTCCACTCCCTTCTACCCTACTTGTCCCACCATCAGCAGGCAGGCAGCCTTTCAGATTTTCTACCCCCACTCTCTGGAACACCATCCCGGAGTCCCTTAGATTTATTCCTCCCTCACCTCATTTAAGGCTTGTTTCATGATCTACCTCTTTGACCTTGTCCCTCCCAAGCCCCCTTAGCTCCACACCCTAAGCTCCTGCCCCCAGCTCAAGTGTCTACTGAGGAGTACTTTTGGGACACTCTGTTGACTTGAAAGGCATTATATAAAAGTAAATTTGTATTGTATAACAGGCCCCACTGGAGCTGTGCATCTGCAAGGCCATCGCCCCAGTCCTCGACAGGCTTCACTGGTTCTCAGCAGATTTACTTCAAAGTCTTCACTCTCGCCTACAAAATCCCTTCACGTCTTAGTAGTTCTCTTTAGTGTCCTCCTATGTCCTCCTTGCATCCACAGCTCACCCCATTTACTCAGTTAGCTTCAGCTTGCTGTGTGTCACCTGTCCTATCTACGTCACCGTCAGAGGCCTAACTTTCCAATTCTGTGCCCTAATACAATCGAAAAGAGAAGGGAGTTATAATAATAATAATAATAATCCTTGCATTTGATATAGCGCTTTTCACGTCGGGAGGACGTCCCAAAGTGCTTCACAGAACACACTGTAAAATGAATTGACTGTATATTTGTGGGCGAACGCGGCAGCCAATTGCGCACAGCAATGTCCCACAAACAGTCGTAGATTGAAAATGACCAATTTATTATTGTTTTTGGTTTTTTGGAGGGATTATTATTAGGAGTGTGGAGTAAGGAAACTTGCCCAAGGTTTCACCCTGTGCCTGGAATTGAACTCAGGTCTCTCACTTGCAAAGCGAGTGCTCTAACCACTGAGCTACAGGACTCTCAGTAGTGCATCCGGCAATCAGTCCTCCAGATAACAGTGGTCTTTCACTTTGTGGCGGTTTGTGAAACATTGCTGCATGAAAATTGGCAGTAATGGTTAGCTTTACAGGAATTTTGTGAAGTGCTTTGAGATGTTCTCAATAGTATAGCCATATGTTCATCTACAAATACACTGTCACTACTCATCACAGTAAAATCCTGTGAAGTGCTTTGAGATGTCTTGATGACGTGATGAGGCACTATATCAAATGGTAGGATTATTATTCTATCAAATGGAAAGATTATTATTAGCTTGCAGTTTTATAGTAGCACAATCCTAAAATTATATTAGGTCAATAATGAAATACTGTATG